ATCAAACAGATATTTTCATTTTCCTAACGTTTGTTAGAATTCAGAACAGTGATGTTGGGAAACATCGAGATTTTTATCGCTACTCCACTGGGACTTCTGCTGAATTCTTTTTCACTAGAGTGTCTTAAAGATTCTTTTTCAGTGACTATCTAGTGTTCGCAGTTACTGTCTGTTGGCAACACTAACCCTTTAGGCTTCGGAAACCATGGGAAAGCAAAGGCCACTCAAGGCCTGAGCAGTCATCAGTACTCTTAGCGGGTACATTGTAAAATCGCTGTCATTATATGGGTCAAATACAGCCAAAGAAGAGCAATTTCCTATGATTTACGTTAATTTCAGGTTACAGTGACATTATTTAGAGCATTTAGCTAAGAAAAAAATTAACCCAGAGTCGTTTGTCAGCCTTTTTATGAAAAAATGTTTTTCAGATCCTGACAATCTCCCTCTACACAAATTCAACAGTTGACAAAAGGGAACCCATGTTCATTAGAAACGGCTTCAATGACCTGTTTCGTTTTCTGTGGTGGGACTGAGCACCTATGTGTTCTCTTAGTTCACACCCACCAAGATGGGAACCCCAAAGCTAGTGACAACCTCTCCCTGAATCCAAGAGAGAAAATATACAGAAAATTGTCTGTCTCCAGCCACCATGAAGCAATCAGTGGTCTAGAGTGGTATGATGGTGGTTATCATGCCAGTGGGAGTGTTTAAAGTGTGAATGTAGCAGATTCCAGGGTAGTAGATTCAGTGTGCAATAAATTATCATTTTTTAATGTATCTAATATGAACTATTAGTCCCCCTTCATCAGGACTGAAAGGACTTTCAAATTGATTTATCCTGGGGTATCCTTCCCTCCTGCAGGATCATGTGAAGGACCCCGGAGCCTTCTGTAATCCCTAGGACACAGGGAGCACCACCGGTCCTTGTGGTATTCTTCAGCACTGTCAACACCCCACCGCTCCTACCCCCATTGCTTTGGGCAGGAAAGTCCACTACAGCGTGCCATGTTTGGACTGGGAGCTTCTGTTAAGGCTGGGAGCTCTATTCAAGGATGGTGATGGAGTGCTGAGCATGAGAACCCCCTGGTCATTATTTCCCACCCCACTGGGGGAATCCTGCTGGGTCTTGTCTCTAGGACATCTGACAGTCTCTTCAGTGAGCTGGGGCCTATTAGGCAAACATGTCCTGAGGACAACAAACAAAAAAAAAAATGGCCAAGCCATTTTGGGGAAGAAAAATTAAGAGACCAGATCAGAATCAGAAATGTGCCATTTGTGACTGTATTGTCTTGCCAGGGGAAGGTACCGTTCATGGCAGCCTCAGTCCTGACAAGCACTAAGATAATCCAATGTGGTACATATCATCCACCTGTGGCTGTTTTACATTTCAATTAATTTACATTATCTGCTTTATCACTGCTGGAACCAAAAGACCTGAAAAGTTTTAGAGGAAGAAAAGATTATTTGGGGGCTCACAGTTTCAGAGGTCTCAATTCATAGATGGCCAACTTCATGGCCCTGGGCCCATGGTAAAGCAGGACATCGTGGTGGAACAGTATGGCGGAGGGAAGGAGCACAGAGCTTGGTACCAGGAGGCAGAAAGAGAGAGCTCCACTCAATAAGGACAAAAAGCACATCCCCAGGGACCCACCTCCTCCAGCCACACCCTACCTGCCTACAGTTACTACCCAATTCATTAGGGGATTAATGCACTGATTAGGTTAAGGCTCTCATAACCCAATCATTTGTACCTCTAATCCTTCTTGCATTGTCGTGAGCTTTTGGAGGACACCTAACATCCAAACCATAACATAAATATTGAGTTCCTGAGGGGCTGGGGCTAAAGCTCAGTGGTAGAGCACTTGCCTTGCATGTGAGAGGCACTGAGTTCGATTGATCCTTGGCACCACATAAAAATAAAGGTATTGTGAAAAAAAAAATTTAAAAATTGAGTTCCTCAGTTAGCTGATCTTTTTCCAAGTTCTCACTTGTCACATGTGCCCAGTGACCACCACATGGGACAGCACAGATGGAGTTCTGGTGGATAGTGCTGGTCTGTCCTAGTCTATATGTAATTTCGGGTGCGGTTGAAAGTGGACCCATGGGTCTTACTTATTTCCTTACGCTTGGCCCCAGCTGCTTAGAAAGTAGAATGATGTAAGTGAAAAGCCAGTGGGAAGTAGTGACTCCAGCAAGTCACACTAATTGTCCAGATCGGTTCCTCTGGGTAGGTGTGGTAGAGCCTCGCCCAATCCTCTCTTTCATGTCCCCAAGGCCCTTGGACAATCCACTGGGTCTGCAAATCTTTTAAAAAGGGTTTGGGGTTCAGCTCCTGGAGAGAGGACTCTTAGGTTTAAGATGAGCACATAGAGTATATTTTCTGTTACAGCTTCATTTCCCTTGAGGGAAGCACCGAGAAGCAGGGTGTGGGGTGAGCCATGACTGGTTTGCTTCTGTTCACTGGGATCTGCACCTTTAGCCGCAAACAGACAGCTGGCCTCCGGGATGAGGCTGTTCAGGGAAGGCTGTGAGCAAATTGAAGATAAATGAAGAGGGGTTCAATGAAAAAGCACCCATGTTTCATCCCATCTTTATAAACCAGTACTGGAGAGACAGACTACTCCTGCTCAGTAAATAAGTCCTTCAGTGTCCTTACCTGTGACATGCTGTGTAGACAGCCTAGTGCTCCCCTGGGAGTGCTCTTAGTTCAGGCTGGCTTTAACATTCTCCTTTCCCTTGGCCTTCTCATCCTGAGAAGATCTTCCCTTCTCTTCTATTAATTTCAGCCCTAAATGACGTTCTCTGAAAACAAGGAGAAAATTGGGAATTGGGAATATAAGACACACATTGCTGGCTTCGGCTTTAGCAAACTTTTAGCAAAGTCGGAGTGCGTGGAACTGTGCCGAGGTCCTTTACTGAAACCAAAGCCTGCTTTTCTGTACCAGCACTGCTGCTGTTGGTCCCCTCGGTCCCTCCCCACCGTGCGACTTCTGCCTCCTCGCTTTGCTCAAGGTTTTTCTTTGTAGGCTTTGTAGGCATCCCTGTGTGGATGCTCTGATGTGTTCATGTCTCCATCCTTAATTGCTTTCCAAAGGCTTCTAGAAATTGCCCTGGGTAGCTTAGTAGCAGGCAGAGCAGCAGGTCTGGATGGTATGGACAGTACCTGGTGGCCTCACTGAGCCCCACTGTCCTCTGGCCTGCTGGGTCTTGGCAGCAGCGAGTTGAAGGTGGGTGCAGTGTGTTTGGGTTTAAATAATCCTGGGCCTCGTAGCCCTTGGGGAGCAGGGTCCCTGCCAGAGGGGACACGTGTGGAAGATTTCAGACACGTGGAAAAGGGCTTCCTTCTCAGAACGTGTTTAGAGCCCTCATTGGGGTGGCTTGCACCTTCTTGAAAACACTGACCATTGCAAGACTTACTGTCCTTTTCTGTCCCTTAAGGGGCAGGTTGGCTCTTTAGAATGACCTGAAGTCTTTTACACGCATGGGGTATGGGTGGAGGAATGGGAGAAGCGCTGATTAAAGTAAAATAAATAGAAAGAGCGAAGACTTGTGGGATGGGTGGGTTGGTTGCTCTTGTCCTGTGGCTTTGGTGTTGTTTTGAGCACACTGATGCCATCGCCTCCTGAGGAGGATTGCTGCACTTGCTGGGTGCCGAGGGTCTGGGGTGTTTATTTTGAAAACTATCTCAGATCAGACTCTGCATTCTACGTAAGATCATTCTACATACGGAAGGGCACAGATGAGGACAAGCTGTGTGTCCTCCAGCTTTGAGAGGGGCGTGCCCCGTTCTCCCCACTCCCACTCTGTCCCTCTCTCTTTCTCCTGGTTACCTTTGGCCAGGAGAGTCTCCCTTTACGTCTGGCTTGTTCTTACTTGGCTTCTCATTCCCTGAATACGGTCCCTCTGCCCAGATCACACAGTGAGGAGGCTTTCAGTCTGAGGTGGCTTTCCCTTACCAGCACCCTGGGTCATAGAGACAGAGGCTGGGAGACGGTCCCCAAATGAGGCAGCAATTTAGAGTCACCTGGGTCACTTGAAGTGTGGATGCCCAGGTCCTCCCCATATTCTCAGAGGTCCCCGAGTGACTCTGATGTGCAGAGTTTGAAAAACTCATCAGGAAGGAGGATCATCCTTTGACAAAGCGAGCAGTGGCACATGAGGGTAGTCACGGGAAGCCCATCTTGCATCTCCAAGGCAAAGCAAATGTACTAGAAAGAGCATTGGGCACCAGACTAGTCCCTTCAACGTATTATTATCCCGGTGGCCTTGGCAAGCCATTTACCTGCTCTGAACCTCTTTCTTTGCCCCTCTGTAAAATGGGTTAACAATAGTAATGCCTGTCTTGTCCCTCCAAGTTTCCTTACAAGTGTGTGTGTGTGTGCAAGTCTTTGAATCATGTGGTGTTGTGTAAATGCTTGTCGTTTTACTGGGAATTACTGTCTAATAAAGAAGATACTGCCTTGTCAGGCTGCCTAGAAAATGAGTGAGGGTGACAGTTGTGCTTCTCATTCATTGCCAGCAGTGAAACGGATGCCTGTTTAGGAGATTTACTTCTCCTGTCTGGTAAAGGAGAGGTGGCCTCACTAGCTTTAAAAAGAACCCAGCAGCAGGAGCCCGAGAGGCCCAATTGTCCCGGATGCTCAGAGAGCATTCCCTTGGCTTCTCAGTAACTGGCCTTCTCTGAGAACGTAGGGCCCCATGCTGAGGAAGAGGTGGCATTGGTCGCCTCCAGCTTCTGAGCCCAACTCCCATCTGCAGACTTTGTGATCAATTGGATTTCGTTTTTCCATGTAAATGAAATAAAATGGAGTTGCCCCCAGAAACAACCTCACTGTGAGGCCCCCAAGGAAGGACACCAGGTCATCCCATCCCATCCCATCCCCCAGGACCCACTTGGTCATTTTGTCAGTGTGACTGTGGTGTCTCATGTAGTAAACATCATCATAGTTCTTTGGGGTGCACACAAAAGCATTTTTTYCCCTTTGGCTTGTACTCCTCAGGGATCTGAAGTTGGATGGAGGGAGGCAGTCAGCAGGCGCCATGAGCTTGAAAGAGATCATTGGTCTTGAAGGTGTGGAGCTGGGTGCTGACGGGAAGGTAAGTCCACCTGGCCCTCAATCACCAGGGGCAGGAAGCAGAGGCAGTAAGACTGAACCTCACTTGTGATGGGGGGAAGCAAGCTCTGGGGGCAGATTCCTGGGCACGTGATACCAGCYCACCCCAGCTCTGCCACTGTGCACATGGAAACCCACCAAGCTGTTTGAATAACCGTGTGGCGGAGTCCACTGGGCATGTGTATTTTTCTGTCAATACTGTTGACAACTGAGTGTGTWACACAAATACCTCACACACTCTGCCCCCCCCCCATCCACAATACATGGATATTCCAGGATGAAGTGGCAGTTTGAACATACTCACTGGTGGTGTAAGCAAGCAACATTCCAACTACTAGAAGTTTTTTGGCTTCTCATGGTCCCAAGGGGCCAAGAATCCCTCAACCTTAAATGGTTTCAAGCTGGGTTGAAATCTGAGGAGTGAAAGTTGAAAATGAACTTGACCTGCATGCACTAGGTTCAAGCCTCCCAAAGCCTGTGTTTCTTTGGGGAAACCATCCCAGAATAGTTCCAACAGGGGAAGCTTCTGGAGCTGTGAATGACCTTTGCCCTCCTTACCCCCAGGTTAACTGGTCACTCCTCTACCTGAATGACAGGAAACCTGAGCTCCAGGTAGAGGTAGGGTGCAGTTCCCCAGGCAGGAGAAAAGAAATGCCTTTGCTCCACCTTTATTCCTCAGGAGGGAGGGGAGTTGTAGAGCTGAACATCACAAACAGCGTCTGCTGAGGAACATAATAGGAGATTCTGTGGCCTGATGTGTTCTGGAATCCTGCCAGATGGGTTATGAAAAGCAATACGATGTGTCGGACATGTTAACATTTCTGCCACAGAATGAGAATAGTCCTACTAAGTGAGCTCTGTTAAAACCATGTTACACCTCATGGCCGCTAAGGTGGAATTTGGGCACAGATTTGGCGTGTGTGAATGCCAAAATTTTTTTCACTTTTCAGATCTCATTGGATTTTAGAATTGCAAGTTTTAAAAAGTAGATCTGAACTTGGAGGAGCCACATATCTTGGTCAGAATGCAAACCTAGCATTGCCTGGGAATAATCACTAGTTTGTCTGTCTGTTTACCTTTTAGACAGTTTCTTATACCCAATTTCTGTTACCCACAAATGCCTTCGGAGCCCGGAGGAATACTATAGACTCCACCTCCTCCTTCTCCCAGTTCCGCAACCTGAGCCACCGCAGCCTCTCCATAGGCCGGGCCAGCAGCACCCAGGGGAGCCTCGACACAGGTAACTTTGGCCCTTCTGCTCTGGGTAGTTTGTGACAGGAGATGCCTCAGTTTACAGTGTGGTCTGTGTCTCCCTCTGCACGCTGGAGGACAGGTGCCCCCAGAAGACCCTACTTTAGGGAAAACGTGATCTCAGGCCATGTAGGCCCATAACCAGGTGACAGGGGATCTTATCTCTAGATGTCACACTTGCCAATCCTGTAGGGTCTTACCTACATGGAGAAATGCTAAAGTCGCATCATTTAGAGCTGTTTGGGTTTCCCCGCTTCTGGGGACCACTTGGCTCCTCATTCACCTTTCGCCTGGTTACAATCCTGCATTGTCACAGTGTGAAACTCTGGAGTTCTTTCGTTCGTTTGTTTTGTTCTTTTTTCCTGTTTATTTTCCCCTAAAATAATTGGACCCTGAAGTACAGAGTGAGGGTGATATTTCCTTTGTGGATATTCTCGCGAGCAAAGTTGGCAACTGAAGGAAAATGTGCATGTCCCAACTATCCACACAAACCTTAGTAAGGATGAGCATGAGGGTACCAGTTCTTTAAGAAATAGCATTATTTCTACTTTCAGAGAAATTCCAGGTGAGTGTGCAGATCCCTAGGTCAGCCCAGCCTCCGCCCTCACGTCCCAGACACCTGTGGTCTTTTACAGCTGTGTACCCTGGTGGTTGCTCTGGTTTGAGTTGCTCTGCACACAATAGCCTGCCCAGAAGCTTTCATGCTAAGTCATGCCTCTTAGGTGGCATGACATGAGTCTTGTAATTTGGCCTGCAAATTTAGAAAATGAATCTTTTCAAGGCCACATTCTGTAACCTGCAAGGGCTCTCTGCATCTCAAGTCCTATGTAAAGATTTCTACACTTCTGGGTCAGGAAGATTAATATATAATTTTCTAATATGGAAGGAAAAAAGAGAGAATGGTAAGAATTTGCTGAACCCTTTGGCAAGGGGCTACACCTCATTGGCATGCAGAGCCGTCTGCTAAAAACCAGAGCCAGGAATATGACACTGAGCCAAATTCCCTGAAAACTGTCTTCAGTGACTGTACTTGGCATTCTCCTAGCTGCCTCTGCCTCAGAGAGTCCAGGGCCCCTAATTATCATTTTGCATGTGATCTTCAGGTAGTGACCTGGGAGACTTTATGGACTATGACCCAAATCTCTTGGATGACCCCCAGTGGCCTTGTGGCAAGCACAAGCGAGTTCTGATCTTTCCTTCATACATGGTGAGTATTGTGGGATGGATGGATGGTTTGTTCATCCCCACAGCCACCTGGACTGGCTTGGAGGTGGCTTGCTTGCATTCACAGACTGGGACTGGGGACTTTATCAGAAACTGCTCTGCCTGGAGCATCTCCTGGAAAAGTGCTAGTGGTGGTTCCCTACAGAAGGACCAGCACCTTCATGGTATCCAGGAATCTGGTCACCTAGCCTGTAAACACCACTTTTAGGGGGTTGAGAAGGCTGGGTGGCCAATGTCTGTGAAAGCCACCAGCTCAAGTTGGGGTCCCTCATCTCTGAAGTAGCATGGCCCAGCTTACACTTCCATAGGGGAGGACCTAGCCCATCCCTGAAAGTGCCAAGTTCAAGTCCAGCTCTGTTTGGATTGCCTCACTGACTGCAGGCTTCCACGTGCACTCAGAGCAAACAATTGGCACCAGGTTGGGGATGACAGAATTATCTCTTGGGAAAGTGAAAGTAGGACACTGTGGGTGTTAGATGCAAAAGCTTTCCTTGCTGTTTTTATTTCACAGACTCTTCCTGTTTTTCCCTTTGTTATACTTCTGGTTTCTGCTTTGGGCTAACCACCTTTCCCACCACCAAGGGCTACTATTTCTCCTGACACCAGGGGGAACTTCCAGGGTCCCACATACTTTCTTTGGGCAAACCTGCCCTGACTCCAAGGCAAGCAGAGCCCGGCTGCTGTGGGAGGAAGGGAGAATTAGGCTTGGGGAAAACGGACTGACCAGGCCTGCCCCACACAGCATCAGCGGCCTGGGCACCAACCCAGAATACCCCATCTCTCCCTGCCTTCTGGCACAGCAGGCCTAGCTCAGCACTTCCTCCTCTGGTTCACTTCCTCCTGTGCTGTTCTTAGGAGCCCTCACCTCAGCATCAAGTATCCCAAAGGTCCTTGCTCTGGGCTTTCTTGTCTGCAGACCCCAAAGCACAAACCAACCCCGTGTACTCAAGGGACATCCACATCTGCACTTGGAGCTTAGAGTTTTCAGCCATTGTCAGGAAACCCCTGGAAAGTACCCGGCCAGCCCTTGCCAGGTACCTTCAGCATATCTCTGCTTATATTTGGCATCTCTGCAGAGGCCATTCGGATGTGCCACTCTGAGTCAGAATGGATTTCCAAAGGCATTTAGTTTAAAATTACCCTTAATCCTAGGCCTCCGCTCTAGGACACATTTATTGAACAGTCTAATAAAGTGTTCAATAAATGACCAGAGCCATGGCCCTGACATCGAGGAGGGAGCAACTGGAAATCTGCCATTCCTGTAAGAATCCGGTTTCTTTCTGTGGTGCACGGCTTTATTGATTCAAGTTCACTTTGTTGATTGAGTAACTTAGGCAAGAAACTGTGGCCCAGAGTCCAAGTGAGGGTCACAGTTGATGGTCATGGTTGGACAGGCAGGAAATGGATGCTGAGGCTACAACTCCTGGCCCGGGGCTCTGTTCACTTTTCTGGGTCATGTCTGAATACCGATTGCTGGGCTTTGTGCAGTGGATTGCTGACCCAAGGGCAGGACGTAAAGATGGTTCTTTGGGCAGTTTAACAGAGTATGAAGTGCACTATGGCCAGCAGTGGGGTCTGGCAGGGACCTTTCCTGTGGACATGTCATGATAACATTGACCTCCCCTTTGACAAGCCTGCTGTGGGGCTGGTGCCAGATCCAATCTTCTTTTTCCCCCTTTAAATTTCATTGTGCACTTTGATGTCCTGGGCTTAGTATATGTGTGTGTGTGCTTGCACGTGCACACGGATAATTCTTCCTCCTTAGACAGTGTGTTAGATGACCTGTCAAGTCAGCATATAGGTCCTTCCTCCTCATTTTATGTTCCCAAATGGAACATTTTTCATTTCCTCATGTTGGCTCCACAGTTTGTGCTTCCCGTAAGAGTCCATGTTTAGAGAATGCAGTTGCTCATGAGCTRCATTTAATGGTCAGATCTGTAAGACCTCTTTGCCTCCTAACTATAGATACTGGTACTTTGATAATGTGGGAAATCTACTTTTAAATGTTATCATCCAAGTTTGTTTTCTGGGTTTTTTGTTTTGTTTTGTTTTTTTCAATGCTGCAGACTGAATCCAGGGCCTTACACATGCTAGGCAAGTGCTATACCACTAAGCTATAGCCCCAGCCCTTTTTATTTTATTTTGAGTTGCCCAGACTTGGCCTGGAACTTGAGGTCCTCCTGCCTCAGCCTCTGAGTAGCTGGGATTACAGGCATGCACCACCATGCCCGCTGTTATCTAAGTCGATGACAGTATGTATTACAAAGGGCCTCAACCCAGCTTCCCAGAGACACCCTTCCTAGAAGCAGGCATGGATGACAGGACTATTTTCTCAGCATTTGCACTGAACTTGTAGGAACAAGAGTACAGGGGTGGTTCTTTGTCTTTGTGTGTTTGCTTGATTTTTATGTTGAGTAACAGGTACAGAATTTACCCATTCAGCAAATTTGTTGGGGCCCTCATATGTGCCAGACTGGGTGTTTTTAATATCCGGTGGAGAACTAACCAGCCATAATCCCCATTGTCGTTAACTTTAGAACAAATGGGGAAGTCAGTCCATAAAGGGGAAGACAAATCACTGTAGCCGGGAGGAGTGTGTGGAAGGAACCCACTTGGACAGGCAGTAGGAGATTGGTGGAGGTGAATTTCCCTGTGGGAAAATCCTGAAGTGTCAAAGAAGTTGACTTTGTGTACATACACACACATGCGTGCAGGGAGGTCAAGGCCACAGAATGATGATCCCTACAAACCTTTCTCCCCCCTTGTGGCTCCAGGCTCAGGGATGTACCTGTATCGGGCTAGTGACTCTCAAGGTGGGCAAAAGCTAGAGGGTATTTGAACCAGGTTGCTGAAAGCCCTCTTTGAGTGCCTGGGGCACATTTGGCTCCTAAGTGGGTGTGGGAAGCTCTAAGCCAACAGACCCTACTTGGGTCTGCACTTTCCCTCCCTAGATGCCCCCAGCTTGTGAAGCAGGCTCTGGCCCACTCTCCCCAGGGCTTCCTGCTGCCACCTCTACTTGCTGATGGGAGCAGGCCCTGGGGACCATGCAGCCTCATAGTATTGTTGCCTTATCCTGGGTTTCTTGGGTCCTGAGGCTGCTGTCCAGTCTTTCAGGAATGTCCTGTTCTTGTGGAATTTCAGGCTATGGGATGTCCCAGGGGCCTCTGCAGAACCAAGCACCCCCTCAAAGTGATGAGCTAATCCTTTACCCATCTAATTCTGTGGCAGCTGTATCAGGTGTAGTTTATATTCAACCAAATGCACCCATTTTAAGTGTACAATCCCATGAATTCTGTCACCACCCCGCTATTCTAGACAGGACATTTCTGTCCCCTTAGCAAATGCCTTCCTCCTGCCTCGTCCTGTCCACCTCCTCACTAGGACAACTGCTGATCTGACTTGGCATCATAATTGGTTTATCTACCTATTCTGGAACTTCGTGTAAAAGAGATCATAGGCTATGTCTTTTTTTTTTTTTAATCCATCTGCTTTCTCATTTGATATCTGTGAGACTCACCCAGGCATGTCTATCAGTAGGTTTTTTGATTGCTGAGTGGTGTTGGATGTTCCCCTGTTGATGGACATTTGGGAGATTTCCAACATACAGACATTATGAGTGCTGTTGCTATGAGCATTCTCACACACGTCTTTTGTGGGCAAATATTTTCATTTTTCCTGGGTAAATATCTAGCGGAGAGATTCGAGTCACATGACATCACCCAGCCAGGATATAGTCAGATGCATATTTTCATTGTTTGAAAGGCCACTCATCACCACAGTTAGGGCGTGCCTTAGAGTTGGAGAGTTCCAGAGGTGAAGCGCATCTACAGAGTAAAAGTGATATCTTTTTAAAAGTGGCCTTGAACTTGTAGTGACATTTGTATTTTCAAACTTGGATCTATGCAGTCATTCCTGCTAAGATCCATTGAGAAAGGGCATAAGTGAGATTTCTGAACTTAAAAAGAAAATCCCCAAGCCAGGCATGGAGACCGAATTACAGCTATTCCTGTGGTTTGGACTTTGGGTTTCTAGAAGGTGACCACAGGACATGAAAGTACGTTGCACCGCTCAGCTGCATGCAGGTTCTTGTAGGGCCTTAGTTAATGTGCTGCCCAGGAGGGCAGGAGGCCTTGAGTCAGAACCGGATGCTTCCGGCCGCTGCAGGGCCTGGCATGTAATTAGGGTTTCACTAGAGAGTTATTATTTATCATTAGAACCTGGCAGCTCATGCGGGTAGTGGTTTTTCATTGTTGTTTTTTTTTTTCTCCCTTTATGGGTGTGGAAAGCAATTAAGAGAAGAAAGTGACAGCGTTGAGGTAATGCCAACAAAATGAACTCGACTTGAATGGAATTTTGGATCCCTTTCCCTTCTCAGAAAGAAATCCCTCTCATCCTGCTTTGACACCAAAAAAGGGGAGGAAGGAAAAAAAATTATCCTTTATGTGATACCTCTGCGTCTCAAGAGTGCATCTGTAGAGTCGATCTTCATGATAAAGTGCCTGTTCTTTATGATAGCAGAATCTCAGCACTCCCTCCCTGCATCCCACAGTGTCAACAGACAATGTCTGAGACTCGGGTTTCCAAATACAGTGTGAGATGCTGGCAGTGGGAGCTGAACAACTCGACCAAAGGGCGACTCATTCAACCTGCCATGTGCCCCTCATGTGTACATAATTTTTTGGTGTCATTGTGGCTTTGTGTTTCATTAAAAGTTGTGTCGATGACTTAGGCAATTATGTACCTACCTGCAGGGTGGATTTGCTGGAGAATTATCGCAGCTGGCACTGGGGTCCTCCGTCCCTTGCAAGGTCCCTTCCAGGATGCTCAGGATTCATGGTGCCTATGGCTTACTCTTTGGGGGACTGGCCACTGTGACAGAAGCGGTGCCAGTTACAAAAGTCAGATTGCTAGTGCTCTCCAGAGGCTCCATCGGGTGCCTGGGCAGCAACTGAGGAGCAGGGTCTTGGAGGCCTGCCAACTTTA